GAAGCAGAAAGGTGTTTGTTGGGCGCTGTACGGACGACATGACTGCTGACGAGCTGCGGCAGTTCTTCAGCCAGTATGGAGAAGTGGTAGATGTCTTCATTCCCAAGCCGTTCAGGGCTTTTGCCTTTGTTACCTTTGCAGATGATCAGGTATTTTTCTTCTGTAGTAATTTGTCTCAGCTGATTAGATAATTTCTCTTGAACTTTTCCCATCCAACTTTTGAAGCCTTGTCATTTTGGCTAAGCTTTCAGACATTATAAAGTGCAGGGTGTGTGGGGTGCTCTTTATACATATTTTCAGGGTAGGGTCTTCGGGAGTATTACCTATTTTGGGAAAAGGAACAGAAATATTACTGTTAGTGTTACCAAAGCTAAAGGCTGCATTGGAAGTTGAAATGAGTGTTCATGACTTTATTTTTCTTCCAAATTATGCTTAAAATCTAGGGTTTTGGTTTTTTGTTCTGTCTTTTTGAGACAGGATCTTGCTATGTAGTTTAGGCTGACCTTGAACTCACTGTGTAGACGAGGCTGGCCTCGAACTCATGGCAATCCTCCTGCCTCAGCCTCCTGATAAAACCTAGGTTTTGTTGCTGTTTTAGCATATCAGTCAGTGGTTTAATCTTTTGTTTACACCCCTTATTTCTTATAGGTTGCCCAGTCTCTTTGTGGAGAGGACCTGATCATTAAAGGAATCAGCGTACATATATCCAATGCCGAACCTAAGCACAGTAGCAATAGACAGTTAGAAAGAAGTGGAAGATTCGGTGGTAATCCAGGTGGCTTTGGGAATCAGGGTGGGTTTGGAAACAGAGGGGGTGGAGCCGGCTTGGGAAATAATCAGGCTAGTAACATGGGTGGAGGGATGAATTTTGGTGCTTTTAGCATTAACCCAGCGATGATGGCTGCAGCCCAGGCTGCGCTGCAGAGCAGCTGGGGTATGATGGGCATGCTGGCCAGTCAGCAGAACCAGTCGGGCCCGTCGGGTAATAACCAAAGCCAGGGCAACATGCAAAGGGAGCCAAATCAGGCTTTTGGTTCTGGAAACAACTCCTACAGTGGCTCTAACTCTGGTGCCGCAATTGGTTGGGGATCAGCGTCGAATGCAGGGTCAGGCAGTGGTTTTAATGGAGGCTTTGGCTCAAGCATGGATTCTAAGTCTTCCGGCTGGGGAATGTAGACAGTGGGTTATGCTTAGTTGATACAGGATGGTGGGAATTTTTCTAAACTCATGGTAAGTATATTGTAAAATACATATGTACTAAGAATTTTCAAAATTGGTTTGTTCAGTGTGGAGTATATTCAGCAGTATTTTTGACATTTTTCTTTAGAAAAAGAAGAGCTAAAGGAATTTTATAAGTTTTGTTACATAAAGGGTTGAAATATTGAGTGGCTGAAAGTGAACTGCTGTTTGCCTGATTGGTAAACCGACACACTACAGTTGATATCAAAAGGTTTCTCATGTAATATTTTATCCCTGGACTTGTTAAGTGAATGAATTCTTTGCATGTTCAAAGTGGAAGCCATTGATTAGAACTACATTCTTCTCTCCTTTTTTAATTTGAGCCCCACCATATAGATTTTTTCCTTAGGAAAATCTCCCGTTGGGAGATCATGACGTCACCGTGTTTGGTTCTTTCGGTTTTGTTTTTAACACTTGTCTCCCCTCACATAAAAAGTACAATATGAAGCCTTCATTTAATCTCTGCAGTTCATCTCATTTCAAATGTTTATGGAAGAAGCACTTCATTGAAAGTAGTGCTGTAAATATTCCGCCATAGGATTACTTCTGTCTACATGCTTTCTCATTCAAGAATTCGTCATCACGCTGCACAGGCCGCGTCTTTGACGGTGGGTGTCCCATTTTTATCCGCTACTCTTTATTTCATGGAGTCGTATCAACGCTATGAACGCAAGGCTGTGATATGGAACCAGAAGGCTGTTTGAACTTTTGAAACCTTGTGTGGGATTGATGGTGGTGCCGAGGCATGAAAGGCTAGTATGAGCGAGAAAAGGAGAGAGCGCGTGCAGAGACTTGGTGGTGCATAATGGATATTTTTTAACTTGGCAAGATGTGTCTCTCAATCCTGTGGCTTTGGTGAGAGTGTGCAGAGAGCAATGATAGCAAATAATGTACGAATGTTTTTTGCATTCAAGGACATCCACATCTGTTGGAAGATTTCCAGTGAGTTTTGTTCTTAGATAACCCACGTTAGTTGAATGTGTTAAGTGAAATGATACTTGTACTTCCCTCCCCTTTTGTCAACGGCTGTGAATGCTGTATGGTGTGTGCTCTCCTCTGTCACTGACCTGTAAGTGTGGTAACGTGAACTGAAGCTGGTGGGTTGAGAACATGGACTGAGCTTGTGATGTGCTTTGCAGGAGTACATGGAAGCAGAGTTCACCAGTGAGCTCAGGTGTCTCAAAGAAGGGTGGAAGTTCTCATGTCTGTTAGCTACCCATAAGAATGCTGTTTGCTGCAGTTCTGTGTCCTGTGCTTGGATGCTTTTTATAAGAGTTGTCAATGTTGGAAATTCTTAAATAAAACTGATTTAAATAATATGTGTCTTTGTTTTGCAGCCCTGAATGCAAAGAATTCATAGCAGTTAATTCCCCTTTTTTGACCCTTTTGAGATGGAACTTTCATAAAGTTTCTTGGCAGTAGTTTATTTTGCTTCAAATAAACTTATTTGAAAAGTTGTCTCAAGTCAAATGGATTCATCACCTGTCATGCATTGACACCTGATACCCAGACTTAATTGCTATTTGTTCTTACATTGTCCAAAGTGAAAAGTTTTTTTCTTTTTTTTTAAATATAGTTTTTAATAAGTCTGGGTGACCACACGTAAAATGGTAAGCAGTACCCTCCAGCTTTTTCTTAGTGCCTCTGTGCATTAGGGTGATGTTCAATTTACATGGCCTGTATAAACCTCCATTGGGAAATCATGCCTTCTAAAACTATTCTTATTCGGAAGAGTGGGCAAAACAATGTTGATCATTTTAAAATGCTTTGTAGCAAAGCATATCAGTGAAAAAGGGACTCTGAGTACCTTTCTGCTTGGGATCTGAAAAGTGGAATTAATTGCAATAGGGATAAAGTAGAAGAAACCACAAATTACCTTGTGCCTGAAACCCATTAAGAAGCCTGAAAGCTTTAAGAACTAAAAGGGTGGGTTGTCTGTCTGTAGAAGTGTTAAGTGGGCTTTGCCTCCAAAGGGGGGAAGTATAGTAATGTGAATAAACTCGCTTACAGAACTCAGATTAGACTCTCACGATGCGTTGTTAAGATGTAAAAGCAATAAATTAATTCTCTGTTGTACTATATATATGTAACTACTGTGAGATTTGAGAAATTTGTTTTCTAATTGGAAGAATGTGACAGTTTTTTGTGTTGGTAGTTTATCTGATACCCTTACCTACTTACATTATGATAAATAGGTTTGTCATTTTGCAAGTTGTGTGTTTTAAACATTTATAAATGAAGTCATTCTTTTGACCTGTGATTGCCACATTGTTTTGCTATTCAGTTTCTTCTGTAAAAGGAGCTTGAGTTGTTTTAATATTTTTTTCTGCATCTAAGTCTGCATGATTTCCAAACCCTGTACCATCTGAATTTTGCATTTTAGCACTTGCACTGTTACTCAGCAGCAGTAACATGGTAACACTTAAAATGGTATTCGGGGACCTACAAAGACTAAACTGACAAGCCGTCCTGGAGCCCAGGGGTAAGTTAACTTGTCAATGGCATGGTTTTAATCCCTTATTACACTTGTTAAAAGTAGTTACTGGTCACACAAGGCTTTCATTGTCGAGAAGCCTTTGATTAACATGTTGTGGTACTACATAGCCACGGCTAGTTATTCTGCCCTTAAAAAATTTTGAAGTCTAGAAGTATTTAAACTATTCGGCAAAGATCTGTTTTTAAAAGTCTATTTGGTCATCTAAATGCATTCATTCTAAAAAAAGTTTTTTGAACCACAGTTGAATAAAAAGTTATGTTGCCACCACAGTTTAGTGTCTGGAGTCTTACTGGAAAAACTTTCTTTTTCATATGTGACAGTTACCTTTAGAAAGTAAACCTCAAGAAACTGCACTTTATATGCACAAGAGAATTGAGGCTAAAACATGCATTGAATTTTTGTATATAATTATACTACCTAGTTAGACTGAAAACTCTTAGGGACAAATAACCAACTAAGATCAAATGAGGTTTTTTTTTTTTTTTTTTGGTCTTCTTGAGACAGGGTCTTGCTATGCAGTTCAGGCTGAACTTGAGCTCACTTTGTAGCCCAGGCTGGTCTCGAGCTCGCAGTGATCCTCCTGCCTCAGCCTCCCTCGTGCTGGGATTACAGGCGTGCACCACCACTCCTGCCTAAATGAGTTTATAGTTAAGAATAAAATCAGCACCTATGTTCTGTCCTTAGGAAAGAGTAGGGAGTTAACTATTGAGTAATTGACTTGTGTGGTGAATAGAGTGACCCTTACTGTCGCACACTAGGAAGGGAGCTCTGCACTGTGTGTTAGACGTCTGCGCTTCACTTGGCTGCGGAGTGACGTGATCTGATGTTCGGCTCACCTTTGCCTAAGTCCTCCGTGCTCACTAAGAGGAAAGGGACCCTCCAGATGGGGGGGGGGGGGTTTACCGGGTGTTGAGCCTTTTGTTTTAGTGTATTTTATCTTGTGGAAATAGCAGATTTCATTCAGTCAGAAACATTTTTTAGGCTATTTCCAATTGCCAGGAACATCTTTACAGCTAAGTTAAATTGTTAGCATTGTTCTTAGGTCAAAGATTGTGGGTGCTTCTAAGGTTTTTGAGATGTATTGCCACATTGTCTTTTATAGTTTATATTGTCTTCGACAGTGTCCACGTCCCTTTTGTCTGCCAGTTTAACAAACGAAAAATACCTTGCTTTTGTATTATTTTTTATTTGTTCGCCGTACTGGGGATTGAACCCAGGAGCAAGCTATCACTGAGGTACATCCTCGACCTGTCCTGCCTTTTTATTTTGAGGCAGGGTCTTGCTCAGGTAGGACTCAAACTTGGAATCCTGCCTCATCCACCCTCAGTGCTAGGATTACGAATATGTGCCAGCTTGCCCGGGTACTGTGGCATTGGTTTTTAACTTGGGAATCTGTTCATTCCTGGGCTAAAGTATTGATGTTTGCAATCCCCCTCCCTCAGAATGAATTTTCAAAGTTATTCCTGAACCCAGTACTGCTGTAATATGTAAAGCGCTCTTAGAGATTAATGAAGAACAAAAAGTAGAGCATAGGTATGCAGCGTGCAGAAATGCGAACAGTCAATCTGAAAAGGTGCTGGGCTTTGTAATAAATGAAGCTTAGCGAATGAGTCTATACTGAGTTGGAGAAGTGAGTATCACTGTAATGATTCGCTTCCCCTAACAATAAGGGAGGGTTTATACTGGAGGGTAGACTGGGTCCTGGAACAGTCCCACTGGAGTTGGATTTGGGGGCGGGGGGTGGAGTGACAGCTGCCAACCCATGCTTCTTGGGTTGCTCTGCCACTGAACTTACAGGTACTTCTAAACATCAGGAATCATGTACTGATTGCAGACAAGCAAACTAAAAATTACTAATTATGTTCTTGATCCAGGGAATATAGTTAATGACTTTGGTGTATACTCCGTACTGATCTGCTGCCCCACATTGAATGGAGCCCCAGGACACAATTCCTCCCACAAACCATCTCTGTGTCTCGTTGTCTAGAAACACGAGTGCCCCTCCACTGTCACCTCTACAGCTGTCCTTGCCCCCAGCTTCTAAGCCAGCGCAGAGCATGTTAGCCGTTACCACTCCCCCTGGGTAGTGCTGCTTTTCGTACGCAGCAGTACATTTTTGATGGTCCACAATGGGTAGGTCCACAAACATGAGATTTCTAGCAAGAAAACCCCTTTGGGTTAATCCCCACCCAGATGCGGTTCCAATGTCATTTGTCTTCATCAGGGATTCTGCTGCTTCTCTTGGCAGACAAATGGGCATGATGTTGCTATTGATTACAACTTTGTTCTTCAGCTTAATCAGTGCTATATCATTGTCAAAACCAGCGTCATGAATGTAACCTTCATGGATAAAAACAGCGTCGGCCCAAGCCTGTGTGTAATGAGGTGATAGCCTCTGCAGGGTGCCCATTCGAATGTCCAGGGAGGGCGTATCACCTTTCAGTCCGTAGACGACATGAGCGGCTGTTAGGATCCAGTTGTCATATAAAAGTGCACCTGCTGCTGTGGTTTGCCCAAGTAACAGGACTTGCCACGGGAAATCACCCGGTTTTGCATTTTGCCCTCCAAATATACGACCTCTTGTAGTACGAGCCGATAGTCCACAGACTGGGGAAAGAAAAAGATAGCTCAGTGGTGTATTTCTCACATGTGTTCTGCTCTGGTGGTTTGGATGTTTAGTCAGCCAGTAATTACACCCCTTAGTTGGTGAATGTAGTAGTTTTAAAACAGCACCAAAGATCTCATAAATGCCTTTAGAATTTCTTAGCTCCTCAGAAAATGAATGCAAGTTGACTTACAAAAATTTTTTTTTTGCTAAAATTTTGAGTTCTAAGCTCGAGGGGATTATTACATAGGGTAAGTGGGCATCTGAGCTCACACACAGGGCAATATGCTTCTGAAGGCAGGAGGACAGCACCTGCCACAGTGGCTTTTCGTTTGTAATATGAGTTATTTACATGAAAGTCTGGGAAAGTAGCAACTAAGGTCACTGAGGATTTGCAAAATTACTTTCATCTGTGATCATATAAACATAAAAATTAGAATGTTGCAGTTGTAGCGAGGACCCTTCAGGTTAAGGAATTAGTATCTTTGGCTCGCTTTGGTTGTTTGAAACCGGGTCTCACTACATAGTTCAAGCTGGCCTTGTATTCACTGTGTAGCCCAGGCTGACCTTGAACTTGCAGCGATCCTCCTGCCTCAGCCTCTCGAGCGCTGGGGTTACAGGCGTGCGCCACCACACCCGCCTTGGTGCTTGGTTCAAACACTAAATTTCTACTGTGTCCTTATTGCAAACTAATTACACTTATTAATGGAGCATGTATGTTTCCTGTTGTGGGAGTATACTTGCATTAAAGCTTACAAACATTGTGTCAGCCAAGTATAGGTTTAAAAAACTAAGCCAAATAACACAGGGGGAATGAATGTATTATTACCTTTCAGATTCTTTAAAAAGTCATTCTCAACTGTTACTGGAGCCAATTTGGGCAGAAAAAAATTTCAGTACTATTAAAAGGCATATTGCATTAATGTTTAAAAACCTAGATGTCATTGAAAACAATTGCTTAGGGAAATAATGAAGTTATTAGCTTTGGGTTTTAATAGCGTTTTTACAGAGAAGAAAAGTAACTCAACAGGAGCTCATGTTTATAAACATAAATTGTTTGAGATAATTTAAAAAATCATTTAATTTTTTATGCTTGCCTAGTTGCAAGGTCAAAAATAATCAAATGACGAATGCAGTCAGCACCTAACCACCTCTCCGGGTGGAAAGGGGGTAACGAAGCACAGTATTTGGGAATAATAACTTGGCCGGAGAGCCAAGCGCGCAAGTTAGGTTTCTGCCTACCACGGCCAGAGCCCTGCCTGTTGTCTCCCGCCCGCTTCTCTGTCCGTCCCGGATCTGTGTCAGTGTCCATTACCAGGCTCACAGACTGGGAGGGATTTTTCTCCTCCGGAGCTCGTCCAGAATCCGTCAGCCTCACATACATATTTACCTGCAAATCATTGGAAAAGCAAAACGGTTGGACTGCATGTACGAGGTGGTTGTCATTTGCCTGAATCCCCCTGAAAAATGTTGATTCTTGAGCATTGGTGGGAGGTAGAGGAGCGTGCTAACCGTTTTACATGATTTCCTAAATAGCAAGTCTGCATTACCATGTTCGCTGGCAAAGTGGAAACCTTTTAGATGTGTAACTTGAATATGTATCAAGATCTCAAGTGCTTAATGATAAGGTTTTGACTTGTTAAATTAAACCATTTGGAATATATTGTGTGTTTGTAGTAGTCATTTACTAGATAAGATCTGTTTTCGATTCTCACAAATTAACATTAAAGTCACTTTAGCTGTAATATTTCACTTAGTGGATGGGAGAAGTGCCTTTTAATCCTTCCTCTCCCTTAGTCGGAAATGTTATTTTCAGGCCACGAAGGCTCGGGGTGCAAATTCCAGCGGCCCCCAACTTTAAAAAATTTGCTTACCGTCGCTGCTTTTCATTGTGTAGAAGGTGTCTCTACAGCTGTACTGAATCTCAGCTTGGTAGGTGGTCACGTCGGGGCCTGTGATGTACTCCACTTGGCCGTTGGGTAAATCATCAGGAGGGCCGCAGTCAACAGCTAGAAAGGAGACGGGAAGGGAGAGGCAGGGCCCCTTCGTCTCTGGGAGCTAACTTCGGGCTGTAGCTCTGGCAGCCGCCCTGGATTCCAGCCCCGCGTTGCAGAGACCTATGAGCAGCCGTCTGGAAGGCTGGTTGGGCCGTGTGCTGCCATGAGCCACACTCGGTTTCCCTGCACGGTGGTGAGCAGGAGTCGCCCTGTTCCACTAGACCGGGCGGGGGGGGGGCGGGCTCGCTAGGGAAGGGGACAGTTTGAAAGGCGTGCGTGCCCATAATGCAAGCGGACTGGCAGGCTGAGGCAGGAGGAGCACAAGTTTGAGACCAACCTGGGCGACTTAGGCCCAGTCTCAAAAGAGCTAAAGATGTAGCTCAGTGTGACGGCCCCGAGTTAATTATACTCGCAGTAGCATACAGACCCCTTAGTTCTTAGCTCTCATGAAACACGGTCAGGGCCACTGTGCTCTCTCATGGCGGTCTCCCTCACACTGTAGGGTGTGCTTCACTACCATCTAAAAGAACCTCAGAGGCTCTGCAGCAAAGCAGCCATGCAAAAGAAAGCAGGTCTGGTTCGGCAAGAAACAGACTGAAGGACTGTTCTTACAATCGTTTTCATAAATGGGACCTATAAAACCTGAAGTGGGGGAAGCAAAACAATTTGTATTCACAGCAGTCAGCACATTGCTAACGTGAAGTAGGCAGCGCCTGGCGGGTAGGACCGACTGCAGTTTGCAGTCCGTTTTCAGCGCAGGCAACCAGGCACTGGTGGGTGGGTGGGTTGGTGTTGAGACAGGATCTCGCTGTGTAGTTCAGGCTGGGCACAAGTTCCCTGTGTAGCCCAGGCTGGCCTGGACCGACGCGCAGTGGCCCTGCCTCGGAGTGCTGGGGTTACAGGCAGCACACCCGGCTGCATCGTTGCTGGTTTTCACTAGGTGGTTTGGGCAACCCAGTGCTGAGTGCCTGGCCCCGTGCCGTGCTCTCCCCAAGCCTGCCTTCCACAGCTGTGTGGCGCTCTTCCGACCTGCTGTGCACCAGAAAGCGCAGGAGGGTGTTTGTCACAGGTGCCTAGCAGGAAGCGGCAGAATCGGGGTTCCTGCCACCTCCGATCCGGCACTCCGTGGACACCCGCTCCCGCTTACAGTAAGCCTGACTTAGGCAGGCTTCACAGAGATGAACAGGCCTTGCGCTGTGAACATGCACAGATGCGAGCAAATTGCAGACGTAGCTCACATGCTGCTGGCCCTTGTCACTGCTGTGCTGCTGGGTGCTCGGTGCAGTGAGGTCGTGGGCACTGGCACAGTGCTCAGTCAGCCCAGGATGCCCAGAAGTGGAGGATGTGGATGTAGCGATGTGGAGGAGACTGCTAGGGAGTCAAAGACTGTCAGATTCACACACGAATCTGATCTGTGAATGTTCTCCAGGAACGGAACCTGTTCATTAGCCAGGGACACACTACTGTTTTGCTTTTCTGGTGCAGGGGATTGAACTCAGGGAGCCCTGAGCTACACCCACAAGCAGGCCTTTTTATTTTTAGATAGTATTTTACTAAGTTGCCCAGGCTGGCATGCAACTTGGGATCCTCCTGCCTCAGCCTCCCAGGTAGCCTGGATTATAAGCATGCTCCATCACCACTCTTTACTATTCCATAACTAAAGAAATTAGTCTTGGTGGTGGGAATGTAAATTCATAAAACTTAAGGAAAGAAAACTCCAGGAACTTTCCCGTGAAAACTTTCACAGCATGTACAGAAACACGAAACACGTTCAGAGGTGTTCAGTGCAGCTGTCTGGGTAGCCGTCAAGGGCTGCAAACAACAACCCGGATGAAGTCAAACGTGTATGCACTGCGGGGCCTTGGACAGCTGGGGTGGGGAGGGGAGAGGAAGGGGGGGAGGGTCCTGTTCACCTGGGTGACATGGAGAGGCGACCAACACAGGGAGAAGCAAAGTAATCAGTTTTCCTTGTACTAGGGACAGAACCCAGGGCTGCTCTACCACTGAGCTACACCTCAGCTTTTTTTAAAAAAAATTCTAAATTTTGAGACAAGGTCTAGCCAGGTTGGCCTCAAACTTACGATGAGCCTGGCAAGCGCAAGGTCCTGAGTTTGATTCCCGGAACCAAAAAACAAACAAAAAACTTGTGACGATCCTCCCAGAGCTCGGTCATTACAGGCACAGTCCGCCAAGCCCAGCCTTTACAAAGTGGTGGTGTCCACCATTAGCCCAGTTCGTGCAGCTGTGTACGCAGGTGTGGCGCTTACACACCCGGCACAGAGCCACCCCCACGTGTTCCCTGAGCAGTGTCTCCTGGAGGGATGCACGCCAGAGCAGTGACAGTGACCACACTCTCCTCTGCTGGTGAGATGAGTGTTGATGAAAATGTCTGTTTGCCCTTTTTTTCTTTTTTTTTTTTTAAGATAGGGTCACGTTATGTAGTTTGGTCCGGCCTCGAGCTCACAGCTATCCTCCTGCCTCAGCCTCTCAAGGGCTGGGGTTACAGGTGTGCACCACGACGCCAGGCCCTGTTTCCCGTCTTTTACAAAGAGTACTACTGTCAGAGTTGGACAGAGAATTTCCAGAGCACACCTTTTCTTTCCCAAGTAGCTTGGCTCCACTTTGACCCCTGAGTACACTGAGAAGACGGAGGAAGAGAAGCGGGTTGGGCTTCAAGCCCTGATAAATGAAGCCATCTGGGGCCAGGGCAGAGAGAGGGCCAGGAAGCGACAGAAGCAGCAAGCGCAGCAGCCCTTAGGGAGTTGTCACCGCGTGGCCGTACTGCTGCACTCCGGCATGGGTCGGTCCCAGGAGCCATCTTTCTGACAGACGGCAGCAAAGGATTTCAGGGGCAGAGAACCCTAAATAGGAATTCAGAAAATAACTTACTTACAAGTCTCTTCCCAGAAGCGGGCTCCCACAGTGCTTCCTATATCACTGCTTCGTGCCAGTCCCAAAGACAGTGACCTGTCACAAGACTAGCATCCGTGTCTGGTGGCACACAAGAAGCCAGGACCTGGACACACCCCGGCCGGCTCGGAGCAGACAGAGGCACATTTGCTGCCCAAAGCTCTGCTGGGTTGTGTTGCCAGTTACGTAGGTCAGCTTTCAAGGTGTCCTGGCATTTTATGGATCAAAGCTGCCCTTTGCAGCAATTCTCACTGTAATCCAGGAGCACGTCAGATCTCGGAGTTGCTGCCTGTGTCCCACCGGTTCCTTATGTGGCTGCGGAGCGTGGCGGTGGTAAGTTTGGGAAAGGCTGGTGCTGCATTCATGGGGCAGCCCCGTTTCTCCCTGGCCTGTGGCAGCGAGCCAGAGGAGGCCGCGAAAAACACTTGGTGAGCCTTTTCCACATCTTCCCCAGTTTTGGCCAACAGTGAGATTTATAGGAAATTTGGGGGGAGTGGCTGGTGGTGATTGAACCTAAGACATTTGCACCATGCTATATCTCCAGCCCTGTTTTTATTTTTTAGTTAGAGCCAGGGTCTTGCTAAGTCATTAACTCACCCAAGCGAGGTTTGAATCTGTGATCCTCCCGCTTCAGCCTCCCAGACTGCTGAGATTAGAAGCATATGCCACCACCCTCCCCCCACCCCTGCAAACTTTGTTGACTTCCTGAAATAGTGTTTTTCTAAAATCAAACATTAAAACATAGAAGAAGATGATGTTAGCAGAAGATTTATGCTTTAAAAGATATCAAGATTTTTAAAATTGAGAACCTGAACAAATTTTGCAGTCCAAGGAGTTATGAGAAAAGATCTTGGCCAAGAAGTCTGCCAGGTGCGAAATTTTTTTCCTGGTTTTGACCCTCCACAGGACTACGGACTGCATAGCCAGCTATCATTTCGGTGTTATTACTTTTTACCACTGGGATTCAGTGACAATTTTGAAGAACATAAAGAGGACGTGTTAATCTCTTACCTGTGCCCCTAAAGAAACACGCTAAGCATTTTTTAAAATTATACTCCCCCTCCCTCAACAATGATCACTATTTATAACTCTGCAGAATACACTCTTTCCCAGGGCCATCTCATTTTTCCTGGGCCCAGGAGCTGTTTTGTAGAAAGGACCTTCATTTAATCCAAGGTGCTCTCCAAGCTCACAGAACAAGGGTAGTGAACTTGAACTTATCTTTCTGTTGTTTCAGCTGCTGGAAGTGTGAACAGGCAGAAAAGTTGCCCGTTGTAATCACCACCTTTCCAAAGTAGCTTAAACAACAATAAAAAAAGGGCACGGGGCTGAGGGGTGGGGGGCTTGGAGCTCCCTGGTACCGCGCATGCCTAGTGCGCAAGAGGCCCTGGGCTCCGGCACCAGCACCAAAATCGTGCTTTCAAACATTTTAAAAAGCAGGACACCCAGAACACACCTCTCCATGCCGTCCCTCCTGCCCGGCACCGACTTATTTCTTTGCTTTCTACCGTTGAAAACCTGGCGAGAAGCCACCGTGCTGCGCCCACCCTCTGCCCATCGGACGGGCACAGGAACGCGACTCTGTGCCAGCGTGACCGCGGGCATTTGCTCCTGGTCACTCACGTGCAGAAGCTCGTAGCCGACCTCGCAGAAGACTGAGAAGCTGTCTCGGAAGACGTACTTGTCTTGCACCGGTGAAATGCGGCCGTTAGGTGGCGCCGTGGGATCGGGACACGGCTGCGCTGCGCGGTGGGGAAGCCAGGCTGTTTGGTTGGGATGTGGCCTGTGGCAGCCAGGCCTGGGTTCTATAACCTGAAGTTCTTGGTTTATGAGTGAAACGCTAGGTAAAGGGGCCCTCTCACAAGTACACTGGCGTTCCTAACACGAAAGGCAAGGTTAAGCTCAGCCGCTTTGCCTGGGGCTGCGATGCAGAGGTTCCCTGACACAGGCTTGAAGCCCAGAGCGAGCAGGGCGAAGAGTGATACCCAGCGGAGAGGGTGCTCGGCTCCTGGGCCGGAGGGCGTGGCTCAGGGGCAGAGCTCAGGGCCCCGGGCTTGACCCCAGCATAAGAAGAATCAGGTCGGTGCTTGGCTGAGGACTGGAGTGAGTGGTGGCATGCCCCTTCCCAGCGCCCTGCAGGACACCATGGCACCCAGGGTTCAGGCACAGGGCCCTAAAGATCCAGATAGACCCCGGGAGCCTCCGGCTTCGCCCACCAGCGCCGCCACCCGAGCTGCACCGGGAGACACACCCCTCTGCCGCCTGGGCTGGCCGGCCCCCTCCCAGGAGCCCCCTGCTCCCTTGGGAGCCCCAGACCCTTCTTCCCTGGGGAACCAACCTCCAGGCACCGCCTTGGTGGGCAGAACCAAGGCCGGGGGCGGGGAGCAGCCTGGGAGGGAGTGTGCGGGTCCGACGCTGACTCCTTGACCTGCTGCTGCAGCCCAAACCCTCGCACCCGCCACACCTGCACTCCCTGACAGCAACGCCTCTGAGTGCAAGCAGGGCCCTTCCCTCCGCCGGGAACACCCTTCCCCGCCTCCATGCCTGCCCACCCTTCAAATCTAGCCTGCGAGGTTTCCTGTTTCAGGGCACCTTTCCTGGCACCGGCCCAGGCACCAGCCCCTCCTCTGGACTCACTGTGCCCTGTGCTCGGCTCTAGGGCTGTGCTTGCCGGAGGTAGTTGTGTTGCTGTGACTCCCCCATCCCCCACTGGACTAGGGGCACAGGCCATGGGGACTGTGGCTGCAGCATTTCATACCCCTGTTACACAGCTATAGGAAGGGAAGGTGGATGGACGGTGGATGGATGGTGGGTGGATAGGAAGATGGATGGGGGGAGCTGGGGATTTAGCTCAGCGGCACAGCGCCTGCCCCGCAAGCACAAGGTCGTGAGTTCGATCCCGGATACCGGAAAACAAACAAACAAACAAAAAAGGTGGATGGGGTGGGGAAAGGAAGATAGATGGGTGAATCAACAGATGAATACGTGGGTGGATGGGTGAGTAGATGTGTGTGTGGTGGATGGATGGCGGGATGGGTGGATAGATGAGTTAGTGAGAGGATGGGTGGGGGTGGATGGATGGATGAGTGCATGGGTGGATGGATAAGTGCATGGGTGGACGATGGTGGGTGGATGGGTGTAGGTAGATGGGTGGGCTGATGGGAGGGTGGGTGGGTGATGAGTGGATGGGTGGGGGGGTGGGCGGATGGTGGGTGGATGGGTGTAAGAGGATGGATGGGTGGAGGGAGAGGAGGAAAGTGTTCTTGCTATTTCTGCTTCTAGGTTCTTTGCCTCACAGAGCTTCGGACTCAAGTCTGCCTCCCTTGCTTGGCCTGGCCTGGAAGGGTCCCGCCCTGGGAGCCCCCCCGGACGCTCCAGAAGGGGCAGAAGCTCCTCCGCGGGTCTGTGCTCACCTGTGCTGGTGTAGTGGATCTTCCAGCCTGTGTTGTCCCCTGAGTCATCGGTGACAAAAGTGATGGTCACAGTGCTGCTGTTTGTTTCGATCCTGCGGGGCGCTGTCCTCCCACACAGAGGGCCGTGCTCCGCTCTGCCTGTCCGGATCTGAACCAGGAGCGGCCTGAAGCCTCAGCACGGCGTCGCCCGGGCCGGGCCGAGTGAGGGGAAGCCACCCGGGTCCCGGGAGCGGGCGGGGCGGCCCCCCGAGGTCCCTCCCTCACTGTGGAACCGGCTGAGACCTCCCGGAGAGGCGGAGGGGGCTGCGGAGGCAGACAGGAGCCGGGCGCGGTGCTGCAGGGTGTAGGGCGGCTGGGCTGAGGGGAAATAGCCAGGGCCGTACCTGGAGGGAGTCGTAGGGACACTGGGTGTCAGGATGCGACTCTACATCGAAGGGCCCCGCGAAGTCCAGGACGACATGGAACCCCTCCTCCAGGCGGATGTGGTAAGCGCAGCTGGAGAGTCTGGGGTACGGCCGCGGGTATTCAGGGCTGCTGAGCTCCCCAGACCGCGCGGTGAAGACCTGGTCCGAGCACAGGGCTGGCAGGAGGAGGGCGGAGTGGTGGGCTCACACTACCTGTCCCCCCTCCCTGTGGACAGCAGGGGGTGGGGTTTGTGGATGTCCCGGGACGCCTGTGTCCCTGACCTGCCGAGGTCGTGTATGCAATCAGCCCCCGAGCCTTTGATACCAACCCCACAGCCCACCGAGCGCTGAGGGACTGTGAGGGAGGGTCCTCGTGCCTGGGGGCTTCCGCTGAAATGAGGAGGGAGGCACTAGGGATAGACGTTTCCTGCTGGGGGTGCGGCCCTGGCAGAGCTCTTACCTTGCATGCACAAGGTCCTGGGTTCGAATCCCAGCAACACACACGCGTGCGCACACACACGCACACACACATGCATGCACACATGCACACACACGCGTGCGCACACACACATGCACAAAGAAGCTCTGCAGGAGTCTCTCCCACCAGCAGAGAGGGTGGGGACACCCAGGTGGGCTCATGAAGAAAGGGGCAGTAGGGGGCCTCTCCATGGTCCCCAGGGATTCGAGAAAGGGGAGAGGTGGCTCCTCGAGCCCCTGGGCCCTTTCTGCTCATGCGCACCCCTCGGGGGGTGGGCTCGGCCTGCGCTGGCTCAGGGAGTCCAGGCCCACGGTGACGGTCAGCCCTGCCTCCTCCCTGTAGCCGCCCACCCCTGGCGCAGCAGTGGGAAGCCGGGTTCCGCCCTCAGGGCGAGGGGTGACGGCGGTGCCCTCTTCCATGCGGCTCCTGGTGGGGCCGAGGGAACGGTCCCTGTGTGCTGGAGGGACCGGAGTCCCTCTGGGTGGCGCCTGCCTGGATCTTTCTGCCCGGAGTCACCTCTGAACGGAGCTGCTCCAAGGGCGCTTGGAGCTCAGCTTTTGGGGACCAGAGGTCTTCCCCGACCTCCCACAGAGACAGCAGGCATGGTGCAGGGGAGCCAGGTTTATTGGTGGGCGGTGGCGGGGGACAGTGGGGGCGCTGTGGGCAGCCAGGGTCTCGCCTGACTCCGTTGCAGCCCTCGGCGGCACCTGGCTTCTGACCTGAGGGCCAGGGCAGGCTGGAGCCAGGCAGGTCAGAGGCTCTGCTCTGGAAGAGAGACGGCGGTCGGGGGACAGCGAGCGGGGACGCAGGTCAGGGCCAACTCCCGGGGCACTGCAGTCCGGGAGCCTGGCAGGGCCACGGCAAAGGGCCCAGAGGGCCAGCGCCGTGGGGAGGGGTGTGCGGCTCTGAGCACAGCCTCCTCCACGCTCCCTGGAGGGGCTGGGGTGTCCTGGGCGGGTGGCTGGGGCCCAGGCGCGTCCCCCTCACCTGAGCAGGTGCGCTTGTTCTGGTGCAGGACATAGCCCGCCCGGCAGGAGCAGTAGAAGCCGCCCAGGTAGTTGTGACAGTGGTGATCGCAGGGTGGCGGCTCCCCTGGGGACACTTGGCACTCGTTGATGTCTGGGGGAGCAGCGGGCCAGGCAGGTGGTCAGGAGGAAGGGTCTGGACAGAGTCCAGGCCTGGCCTGGGACTCTGGGGACCAGTGATCTCAGTGGCTGACCAGCACCTCAGTGGTGCTGGGCAGAGCCCTTTAGTCCTGGGATCCAGAGATGTAAGTTTGACTTTCGTGTGCTTTGGTTTTTGAGACATGGTCTCCCTGTGTAGCCCATGTGGGCTTTGTACTCAAGATCCTCTTGCCTCGGCTTCCCAGGTGCTGGGATTACAGGTGTGTACCACCACTCCTGGTACAAGCACCTTTTTTTCTTTTTCTTTTTTTGTCTTTTTGAGACAGGGTCTCGCTATGGAGTTCAGGCTGGTCTTGAGCTCACTTTGTAGCCCAGACTGGTCTCGAACTCACAATGATCCTCCTGCCTCAGCCTCCTGAGTGCTGGGTTGCGCCACCTGTAAGGCATGCGCCACCACGCCTGGCAACAAGCACCTTTTTCTTTTTTTTTTTCTTTTTTTTTTTTTTTTTTTTTTTTTTTTTTTATCTTTTTGAGACAGAGTCTCACCATGCACTTCAAACTCTCTTGAAGTAGCCCAGGCCTTGAACTCTCTTTGTAGCCCAGGCTGGCCTGGAATTCACAGTGATTCTCCTGCCTCAGCCGCCTAAATGCTGAGATTATAGGCATGCACCACCATGCCCAGCCAAGCACCTTTTTTAAACCAGTGAGAGACTGACTATCCTGCCTGAAGCCACCTAGCTAGTGAAAAGAGGAGCCAGGTAAGGCGGTGCATGGCTGTTACCCCAGCACTCAAAAAGCTGAGGCAGGAGGATCTCAAATTTGAGGCCACCTTGTCTCCAAAAACAAGCAACAAAAAAAGCGTCAGGCACCAAGCCTGCCATACCCATCGGGCCTGGGCAGAGCTCAGGCTGGGGCCTTTGCTTTTGCCAGAGCATGGGGTCCTTGGCTCAGGCCCGAATCATCAGGGCGAAGGGCTCTTTCAGGAGGTGGGGGACGGAGGACCGCATGGCCTAGGAGTCACCCAGCTGCAGATGGCCTGGCTCACCCTCGGCCGCGTAGAAGGCCTCGAAGCCCGTGAACGGCTTCTCGTTGGAGTAGTCGGAGCGGAAGGTGACGTCCAGGCTGGGGCCCGGCGAGTAGAAGGTGTCGTTGCCGGGTGCCCGCTCGGTGTCCGTGCTTTCCCGTCCACACAGCGTGGCCAGCACCTTGGTCCCCGAGCTCAGCTGTGGAGTCGGAGGTCACAGGGAGGCCGGGCAAGGCCCAGCCCGCCCCCAGATGCCCGCAGCCCAGGCCAGCCAGGAAGACCCCCACCCCAGCCCTCAGCGGCCCAGGCCGCCCCGCCGCGGTGGCACCTTGACGAAGTCATACTCGCACAGGTAGGACAGCTCCAGGTCGAAGTGGGTGAAGTAGAGGCGCAGGCGGTAGCCGGGGGGCGCGGCCAGGGCCCAGCGGCGCTGCTGGTGGTTGGCATACTCGCCCGGGAAGCCGGGGGACGCCAGGCGCCCGAACACCGGCTCAAGCCACCTGGGGCCCAGCGGGGTGGCGGCCGCCAAGCCCCACAGCAGCCCCAGCAGGACGAGCACCCTGCGGGGCGCCGGCGTGGGCGCTGCCAGCCCCCTCATGGCGAGCCGTCCAGCGGGCCGTGCAGCTCTGAGCCCCGCTCCTCACCTTTGCTCTGTTTGTCCACCCCGGCCCTGCCCCGGGTCTGGGAATTGACCCTGTGACTTCCGCCTGGCCCGCTTCCGGGCAGGGCTGGCTGGGTCACTCCAGGACCAGGGGTTGGAGTGGGGTGGTGACAGCCTGGGGACACATCCTGGGTGGCTTCGCTGCCCTGGATCTCCGAGCCTCCTCCCCCGAAGTGGCCTGAAAGGTCACTAGGGGCTGGGGTCCCTCGATGATGGAGACAGTGAGTGTTCCCAGCGGAGGTGCAGCCAACACCGCACAGGAGGTCCTCTGCTGCCCACCCCCCGCCCCTGCAAGGCCCAGGGAGACAGAAAAGCAGTGTGAGAAGCCAGGCGGCTCTGTGAAGATGGGACAGCAATGAGGGCAGCTTTTGGTTGTGAGACAGGATTTTGCTGTGTAGTCCAGGCTGGTCTTGTACTCAAGGCGATCCTCCTGCCTCAGCCTCCTGAGTGCTGGGGTGGATGGGAAGGACCAATGGGCAGGTGGGAATAACTGTCCCCTGTGATTCTAAGCTTGCAATGGAACCAGGCATTGGTGGCACCAGGTCCTCTGGATGTGGTTAAGAAATGGACCATCCCTACTCTCTGCAACGTGGAGACCTCTTCTCAGGAACATAAAACAGAGGGTCCCAGGCCCTGCTGGGGACAGGTCGAGTGCTGAGATGCCATTACCTCCCTACCCGGCTCCTAGAACCTGCCAGCTCTGCAGCTTTAGCTTAGTTTCTGGCGCTGATTGAACCCAGGGCCTTTGCACTGAGCTGCATCTGGGCCCCTTTTATATTTTGAGAGAGGGTCTTGCTAGGCCATCAGGTTGCCTGGGCTGGGTTCACATTGGCAGTCCTCCTGCCTCAGCCTCCCAGAGTGCTGGGCTCACAGATGGGTCCACCATGCCCGCATCTCCCTCGTTCTACTAGGGCACTCAGCTGGGCCCCCACGTGGGCTTCTCTCTTTTGCGGAGAGTGGTGAGCAGCCCAGGAAGTGAGAGCTGGGAAGCCCGACCTTTGGAGTTCCAGGGGCAGAAGGTCAGCTCCGCCCCGTGACTCTGGGTGACAGGAGGTAACGCAGCTGGCACAGCCGACCCACTGCTGCCTGGTCCCCTCTTACACCGGGCAGCACATTAGGGGACTCGTGGGCCCTGGGTGAGGAAGACACACGTGTGCACACACACATGTACTCACCCTGCTAACGAGTGTAATTAACCCATTAGCCTCAGGCACAGGGGGCTGAGGCGCTGCGTGGTAGCTCAGGGCCAGTGCACTTGAACCCTTGCCTAGTACGAGGTTGTGGTGGATCTGATGGCACACACCTTCGATCCCAGTGCTCAGGAGGCTGAGGCAGGAGGATTGCTGCAAGTCTGAGGCCAGCCTAGGCTAGGTGACCAAACCTTGTGTCAATAAAAAATAAAAGAAAAAAGAAAAAAGGAAAGGCTGGTGGGGGTGGAGCTCAGGCATAGCACTTTGCCTGGCACATGAAAGGTCTTGGGGTCCAACCCCAGCACCTCCCTTCCCCCAAAAGAAACTGTCCAAAATCAAATTGAAACAAAACAAAACAAAACAAAATCAATTGAAGTTATTATATCTTTAGAGGAAAGAGATGCAAAGCCAGGTGCAGCGGCACACAAGAGCACCCTACTCTGGAGGCTGAGGCAGGCTGAGGATCCCAGGTTTGAGTTCAACCTGTGGAACTGAACAACTCTATCTCAAGAGAATTTGGAGGGGTGTAGTGCTGGGGTTTGAACCCAGGGCTTTTACACTGAGCCTCATCCCAAACCCTTCATTCATTGATTGACTGATTGATTGTTTATTTTTCTGAGACAGGTCTTGCTATGAGTTCAGGCTGGCCTTCAACTCACTGTGTAGCCCATGCTGGCCTCGAACTCATGGCAGTCCTTCCGCTTCAACTTCCCAAGTGGGGTTGCAGGCAGGTACCACCACACCCAGCTTGCCTGATTTTTATGAGGGGGTTTCACTAAGTTACTATGTTGTCTGGGCTGGGTTTAAACTTGCCACCTTCCTTTTTTTTGGTACCAGGAATCAAACTCAGAACTTTGTACTTGCCAGGCAGGCGCTTATGCTACTGAGCTATATCCCCGGCCCACTTGCCACCTTCCTGCCTCAGCCTCCTAGAGTGTTGGGGTTGCAGGAATGCACCACTATGCCCAGCTTCGAAAGAAATTTTTTCTGTTATCCCAGCACTCAGGAGGCTAAGGCAGGAGGATTGCCCTCAGTTTGAGGCCAGCCTGAACTATATAACAAGATCCTGTCTCAAAAAAACAAAATAAATACATAGCATTTTAAAAGGGTTGGGGATGTAGCACAGTCCTAGAGAGCTTGTTTAGCTTGCATAAAGCCCTGGGTTCAATCCTTAGCACAAAAACAAGAAGCAAGAGCAGGATGTTATTTAAAAAAAAAAAACAACTATTCAAACTGGGTATGCTGATGCTGGCCTGTCATCTCAGTACTTTGGGAGGCTGAGGCAGGAGGACCACAAATTCAAACCCAACCTGGGCAATATGCCAAGACCTTGTCTGGAAAAAAAAAGCATTTAGAGAACAGCAACAGCAAAAAGTCTTGAAAATTAAAAAATGTTTAAAATGAAGTCTATAGGGGCTGGGGATATAGCTCCATGGCATAAGTGCCTGCCTGGCAAGTGCAACGTCATGAGTTCAATCCCTGGTACCGTAGAAAAATAAAATAAAATAAAATAAAATAAAATCTATAAAATGAGAGACAACACTGAAGAAATTTTCCAGAAGATAGAGCAAAAAAGACAAAAAAAAAAAAAAAAA